ACAAGGAAATGATATGACTAGCATTAGCATTAGCTCCTGAAGGGAACACTACATTTCTTGACATTCTGATCTGCCCAACTTGCTAACTTATTTAGGTCTGCCTGTATCTGTAGCCTATCTTCAGGCATGACCACACTCCCTTATAACTTGGTGTCATCTTGGTATTGAATCTGGCCAGTGAGCTCTTCACTCCCACATCTAAATCATTAATCAAGATGTTGAAAAGTACTAGACTCCTGCTGGACACCACTGTCCACTTCTTGCCAGGATTACACATATCTGTTACTATGACTCTCTAGGTCCTATCCTACAGCTAGTTTCTCACCCACCTGACTGTCTTGGAGTAAAGCCCACAATCCTCCAATTTTCTCATGATGACATCATGGATTACTAGATCAAAGTCCTTTGGAAGTCAACATGCTCTCTTGTGCCCAGGTGGTGAGTTACCTGGTCATAGAAGGAGATGAGGTTGGTAAAGCAAGACCCACCTATGACAAAGCCACGCTGGCTTTTATTCAGAATTTTACCTTCTGCAAGCTTATTGCAGATAGATTCCTTGATGAACTTTTCTAGGATTTTTCCTAGGATGGAAGTTAGGCTGATTGGCCTAATATGATTGACTGAATACATACACATACACATACATCCACACACACACACATATATTTTAATTGTACATACTCTATGTATTAATGTGTGATGGTAGTGGTGCAAAGCTTTAGGGTTTTAACATTGTGCATTTGGAGGTACGTTGAAGATGAGCATTTTATGACTCAGTGGAGTGCAGTGGGTATTTTAATGCATTGTCCTAGATGCTAACCCGTAAGCCTAAAGTTATTGTCAATGCATTGCCATAGATAGCAGTGAATAAACCAATATGAGCAGTACAAATATTATCAAACACACATACATAATATCATGCACATTTAAGATCCACTAAGAACTAAAAAGTAATTCATTATCATACAGTCATGTTTGTGTTCTCAAGTTCCAAAATTTGTGTAGGCAGGATGCTCAAAGCTTTTCTCTGAGTAACAGGATGTGGGATAGTAATAAAAAGGTCAAGCCATTGCTGGTTGAGAGAGTTAAGGGGATCTCCCATGGCTTGCAGTTTCCTTTGTCATCCTGTGGCCTGTGGCACAGGACAGTTTTATAGCACTTTTGCAGTGAAAGGGGTGTCCCAGAGAGTGTGGGCTGAAGGCCATACACAAGCTGTGGTATAGACCTTAATCTAGGAAATAACTAAATTATAACTGAACTTTTCCATGGTTTCCCAGATTCTTCTTTGTTTTTCTGTAATACCCAGGAGCTACATCCATGAGGACATGGCTATTTCCCACTCTTGGAATGCTCACAAGAATTCTTTGAAGAGGTCATCTCTTGAACTTTTTCCAGGTCCTGTGTAGACTGGACTATATCTGTCCATAGCTGCTAAAAGTCATTGGCTCCTAGTATGGAGAAAAAAAAGTGAGAAAAATATCAAATAATCACTGTCAAAATGCAATCTCCATTTTAGAAGTGATAAAGTAGTGTCACTTCTATCATTTTAGATTTTTTTTTCCAAAGGCTCAGTAGATGATGAATTTTGATATGACAAGATGTCTTTTTATCTTCACATTCTGTAGAGGACCTTTGAACTTGTGGGTATGATAAGGGTAGTTGGATGTGTTTTCTTCTGGCAACTTGAGAAATAGGTTAAATAAATCATGGTGGATCTGGCCTGTGGCTAAATAGGATGCTGATCATTGCCTGTGTATTTCACCAAGTGGTCAATGTGATAGTGGCTGCTCAAAAAATATACTGTGTTGTTGCACATCCAGAATGTTTCAGTGGAACTCATGGAAGGGAACCAAATGCTTTAATACCAGTGCCAAAAGACCTTCAGTGCTATTCAAGATTTGTGTCACATTTCAGCAATATTTCTTTTTTTTCTTTGAGGTTTTTTTTTTTTTGGACACTTGTGGATCAGTGTCCATGTATAGTGCACAGCAAAATAAATAGAATTCTCTGATAACACACCCTCTCTGCTTGTCTACCTACACAGCACTGTCACCTTGAGAAGGGAATTAGATAAGGGCAGGGCTATAAGAGACCAAGTAAATAAAAAGGTCTTTTTAATCCATGGTATCTGTGTGGTAGCTGTTGAGTTGCTGGTGTGTAACTAGCTAAAGTGGTGATGCTTCGTTCCAGAGAGTTTGTGCAGTCTCCAGCATAGCTGCAATTTTGATGCATGGAGTGGTGGAGAGAGACAAGACCAATTAGTGGAATTAAATGATAATATATCACACAGTACTTCCTAGGACCTACTGCATGGATCTCCACCTGTGATCAGGGTGGGTCTTTCACAGTTCAAGGCTCTTCTGGGTCTATTGGACTCTTTCCTTACTGGTTAGTTGGGTCAATAAGATCCACCCTTTCATGATCAGTTATCTCCTTGTCTATGTCTTGATTGATATCCATCATCAACCATGAATTTCACAAATGTCATAATTTGCCTGGCAGATCTCTCTCACTTCTGTGATCCAGCTCTACAAGCTTTTTTAAGAATCCTATTATTGCTCTTTGTACCTATAACCCAGCCAGAGCTCCTTTCCCTTGGATACTGCTGGCTTGGATTATCCTGTATCCTCCTTCTCAATGTAGTCAGATGAGTGATTTTTATACATATGCCTTGCAATAGCTAGAATTCAAATAACCCTGTAAACGCTACTTTGCCAAGAGGGCAATGAAATAAAGAACATCAGCATGACACCACTTGTCACATGCTTAGTAATCAGAAGTAAAACACAGGTGTATAAACCCCCATGTGTTGAAATCCTTAGGGACAGCTGTATGCCAGTGGTTAAGCAGGAAGAAGACATCCAATCATGATACAGTCTTGATTATGCACCTAAATAGAGAAGCCAAACAAACTAGCCAGCAAAGCATCGTGAGAAACCATTGGAAGGACTTTGCAGTTTTGCAATAGTTATTTTGGGATAATAGAGGCATCCATTTAAGTTTTGTTACTTGTCAACACATCTTGATTTCAAAACATTTATTTAAACACTAGATGACTAGCAACAAAAAAAATTGCTTGTTGACACAAATTGCTTTAATGCGATATGACTCAACCTAACCCACAACAGATTTCAAGTGTATGGTCTAAGAAACTTTGTGCTTTGGGATATGAAATGCAGAGATTGAAAATAACACGAAATAGCTAGATTAAAAATTAGAATATGGGTCTGTGCTAAAGAGTATGAGGAATAAGAACTGCCCCCACTTACAACTGAATCTTGGGTCCAGGCATACAGACTGTATACAGACATCTTTGGAGGTTAGGGAGAGGTTAGATTGAATGTAATGGCCCCCTGGTCTAAGGTAAGTCAGAATGGAGGGGCTATCATGCGGGTTGGGAGATTGGGTGGCAGGCAGGGTTCATGGGGGAGGTCAGGGTGGCAGATGGAGTCTACAGGGGAACCTGAGATGGGGGGAGACAGGGTCTGTGGGGGAGTTGGTGGAGTCCACGAAATTTTGGTGGGATCAGGGGGACTTATGGTGTCTGCTGTCTCCCCACCCCC